AATATCTACTTCTGATGTACTTTGATATTGTTGATCTGATACTTCTACTTCATATGTTATGTTGTGATGTGATATTATTTTATCACATGATATGAGATGATATGATCTGACATTGATGTGATGTGATATGATATTAAAACATGATATGATATGATATGTTATGACATTGATGTGATGCGATATGATATTATAACCTGATATGATATAATATGATATGATATGAGATTAATAACCTATGAGGTGATGATTAGATGATGATGTTGTGAGGGTGAAGTAGGAGAAAGTTAGTAAAGAATATGAAGTAAGGAAGGTGAAGTAGGATAAAGAGAGTCAGGAAGAGAGAGTGGGGAAGATGAAGTAAGAGAAAGAGAGTAAGGAAGAGAGAGTGGGGAAGATGAAGTAAGAGAAAGAGATTAAGGAAGATGAAATAGGCAGCAGTGCTTAAGGAAAAACCCTTCGCAGGTGCTTTCGGGAAAAATCTGCAAGAACCGTCCCAAATTCTGCCTTGTGAAATCTGTCTCCTTTGTTCCACGGGAAACCTCTCGGAAAAGTCGAGCTCCTCAAAGGGAATGGCCCCAAATCATTAGCCCAAACCGCTCGCGAGAAAGTGGAACATGGCGGAGTGACAATGACTGCATAAAAGATGCCTTTAGCAATCAGTTGCAACCATTTCTTCTGAACTGTAGGAAGTGTAAAATCTGACTTGCGATCGGATTGGATGTCCAGTTCTGTGATTACCACCTGAACTCCTTGTCGTTGCGCTAGCCTCCGGAGGAACCCCGCAACGGAATTGCGTCTCTTCCTGCCAGAGAACACGTATAAGACTCTCAAAGTCTTTCACTTGCTCCCGACTGTGTCAGGAGGAACAGCCTCTTTGCGGTTCTTTGGGTTGCATTCGTAAAGGGGATGACGATCACTGTAGCAAATCCCGCAGACATGTTTGTATTTGCTTTTGCTGCTCTTGCATTTCTCTCCAGGTGTATTGTATCTGAAGCAGATCATCTCCCCCTCTGGTGTGTGGGTAGCGCAATGCGGATTGCTGCCCTTCCCTTTCCCCTTCTTGGCTTTTCCCTTCTCTTTGCCCTTGCTCCCTTTCTCTGTTGATGGCCACTTTGCTGGCGGTTGCTCCCTCCATGGCGGTGTTGGCCTCTTTGCATATAGAGCCAAGGGCGTTGTGAAGTTCCTCTCCTTGACGGTGGCGTCCTTCCAGGCCGTCTTGAGCGCAACCGTCAGTGGCTTGGCCTCCGTGTTCGTGATCCTCACTGCCTGCTTCCTGATCGCACGCTCATATGCCAGGACGAGCTTCCATGGCGGCGATGCAAAGGTCTGACCTTCAGCGTCCTTTGCATTCAGGCCGTAGACGAAGTCACCGAGGAGGTAGTCCTTATACTGCTCGACTGCTTCCTCCCAATTGCCTTGAAGCTCATGCCTGTTCGAATGCTTCAGCGAAATCATGACCATTGCGTTCTTCCATATTGTCAGCCGTCGACGAAGTTCTTCAGCGTTTGTCGGTTCTTCCACTTTCGTCGACCCTCGACGCATGGCCAATCGGCCCTTGGAGTCCCAAATAGGCACCACGGAATCGGGCTCAATCTCCTCTTTTGACACGACCTCGGTCAGCTCTTCGGCACGGTATTCACCGTTTTCAACCTCGGCCAACTTCTTCTCAACAAATTCCTTGGAGGGACAGATCTTGTCATCTAAATGCCCGTAGCGCTTCTCCAAAGCCGAGCGCATAGCTGCCCATTCCCCGGCCACCACGGGCCTGGACCACTGGAGTGTATCGTACTCCGCATCAACCTCGGCCGCTCTCTGGCTCCTCGTCTTGGCGTTGGTGAACGCACAGGTGATCGCTGCCACCTGCACTCTCTCCTCAAGCGTCCTGCTTGCATCCAACTCCCAATGATCCTTGAGGACCACTGCCAAATCATCACGGTCCTTGGCGAAATTCGACAGCTTCTCCAGGGTCGTCACACCATGGTGGTAGAATAACTTTTGGTTCTCAAGGGTCACCTCATGTCTTGACAACAAGTATTTGATGTCTGCGCCAGCCGATTCCAATGCCTTGTTCCCCTCATCGTCCGCGAGAGACGCCCGCGGCATGGTGAGCCTTCACGCCCACGGCCCCGCACCCTTCCTTTTTGAACCAAGGAGCAAGCAGCAAGCGATGCTGTTCTTGACACTGCGGTGCCAACCGTGCATGCTATGCACATGTCTGTCCACATGCGATGCGACAGTGAATCTTTCCTACCCGCAGCCTGAGCGGCTCGCCCAGGGCGGGATGTCTCTACCCCCTACCAGTGTGCCTCCCCAGGTGCGACCTGGGCCAACCCTGCATGCCCTTGCGCAACACCGCCCCTGGGTGCGACCCAGGGTGTTCCACACCTTTCTTACTTCCCGTCCGCGCCCCGGCAACCTTTTCTTCAGTCGCTGAGGCCCAGCTCATCCTGTGAATCACTTGTGGACTCACTGAGCTGTTCGTCCCCTCCACTCCAGCACAGCTTGCATCGGAGTGTGTACTCCTCGGGCTCCGGGAGATCCTTATGCGTCTCGGACCTCAGGAATGCTCTCTTCCTTGCCATCCAGCAGCCCTTCTCCCCAAGCCGGTGCAACGTCCCCCGTCCAGCGCGCCTATATACAACCACATAGCCTCCTTCTCTCTCCTCTTCCAGCGCTTCAGACATTCTCCTTCTCTTCGCACCTTTGTTGGCCGTGCCACTGCCTTCCTTCTCGCTCTGGGATCCATCATAGATCGTAGTGTCCTCATCCGACAGTTGTATCGGAGCTGGACGGATGCCCTTCGCACCAATCTTTTCCTTCCAGGCTTCGACTACTCTGTCTGCCTGGTCCTCAGGCACTGTCCATTTCTCATGCAGCCAGACCTTCAACTCTTCCAGAATGGAGCCCTCATCCAAGTCTCCATAGGCTGTCTCACTGCGAAGGACCACCACAATCCTTTTCTGCATCTTCTTGACAATGGCGTTGTAGGTCCTGACATGTACGTCAGAACCTTCTGGGCACCACCTTCCCAACAGGTCGCGATCTGACTTGTCTACACCAGGCCGCTAGGTAGGGTTGCCCTCTCACTGTGCTCAGACCAGAACCTCTCCCATCCGGAAGGGATAAGCCGGCCATTGTAGCCCTCAAGCAATGCAAGCGTCTTGGAGCTGCCTGCAACTGCCTCGGCATAGGTGACATGCGACGCACCGTACGCTGTACCATAAAAACAGCCCTCCGGGAAAACGTATGCGCGATCCCTCGGCATCTGCAGCTTCACAAGGTCAAAGCCAACTGCCAACCAGTCCTCATGCACAACGTACGCTTCTTTAGCAATGTATATTGGGAGCTCTCGCACACGCTTTCCAGCCCCAGTTGTCTTTGATTGATGCATCATCCCAATCAGCTGACCGTCGTAGAAGCGAATCTCGGTCTTCAAGTGTGCTGCATCGTCGAACCTCATCGAGGCCCACATCTTGATGAGCTTGAACCACGCGCAGACCCGCACATCGAAGGATACTGCACTGTCCACCACCAAGGTTTCCATCGGCGCGATGAAACACCCTAGCCAACGGGGCGCCCGTCGTACCGGTGGTGCTTTCATCTCAAGCTTCCGTGTCAGCTCCTTCATCACCAGTTGCGGGAATTGCTGATTCATCAACATCTCATCCTCTGGGGTGCCTGCGGTCTTCTCGAACCATGCCACGGCTGTGCTCACCGCTAGTGGGATTGAAGCGCCCATGCCGCCCTCTTCCTCTCTGGCGTACATATAGTCCACCAATGTCACACTGTTCGGGCGTTGTCCAGGCTTACCCAATGCGTCCGCCCATTCTCTGAAGCGCTCCCAGGAGGCCAGGTATCTTCTCACCGTCGAAAACCTGTACTTTCCAATAAGAGCCTCCTTGGCTCTCACGGGGTTCATAGCCTTCCGGATCTCTTCCAGGATGGGCGCCTTGTAACGCACTAGTTCATCCACCAGCTTGTCCATCACCTTGTCGTTGACTTCTTCCTCTGAGGCAACCCGTCCACTCCTCAACCGAACTGTCCTGCCCAAAGTCCCTCTCTTTGGAACAGCTGGTAGGAGCACTTGGGCGCTAGGAGGCTCGAGGGTTTTCACCTTCTCCTTCTCGATGGCTGCCCGGGCATCTAGCAAATTTTGGATCGACCTAGTTGACGAGGACCCAACCAGTCTTTCTTCCAGATCAGCCACTTGCACTGCTTCACGGACCTGCCCCGTGATGAACTCCAAATGCCAGGGCTTGTTTTCAAGGCCTAGGCGTTCCGCAAGCTGCCTCGCCAGAACATGTTCTGTTCCATGGCTCACCGCAAGCATGCCGCCTACAAGGCCTAGCTCGGACAGGAGAGCCAGGAGGCTGGCCGCCTCCTCCGGATCGGGGGCACAAGTGCCCCCATCCATCTCCTTTCCAAGCTGAAGATCACCTACCCTCGAGCCTCCAAGCAACAGGTGTTAAATACTGTCATGACTAGTCATGAATGCATTCCTGTCGGTCTCCTGAAGACTTTGTGATGCTAAGTGATGCACTATTCAGCGTCATTATATTTTGCGTCAAGCGCATCACCGAGACCTCAAAAACACACATGTTCATGTTCACTACCTTTTCGACTGCCTCTCGTTTTCGCTCTCCCCCACTAGTCACTAGGCTCTGGGTTCACCCTACCCGCAGGGACCGGATTTGCAACCACCCCCCCACACACACACACACACCCTGTATACTCACTTCGTTCGCCCATCGACAACTGCAGCCTAGCCTATCGGCTGGCTTTCATTATATAAATATAGTTTGAAAATTAAAAACTCACCATACAGTAATATATACATATATCCTTTGAGACATCAACCCTGTGGAAAGTCGAGTTTTGTGACAGAGCAAAACTAAGCTTTCTCAAGAATCATTGAATCATTGACGTCGTCATTGTCTGGCCTATTTCAAACCTCAATTCAAACACGGGTTGAAGGTACAACGTGAGACTGATGCTCCTGCCTTGTGGGCTTTCCCTTTTGCCAACTTCTGCTGGTAGGGACTGAGCTGGCTCCAACTGGATCGAAACTCTGCGGCTTCTCGCTGAAGCACCTCTGCAATGCGCTGGTCCAACGAAGGCATGTCCAGAATCTCGTCCTGTTCCCTCAAGCTGAAACCCATTGGCTGCCCATTCATGTAGGGATGAAGCCTTTGAGTGTGTGGTGACATCTCAAAGGTGAACTCAAAGCATTCACCTGAAGAATATCTACCGCCCGACATAGCGCCAGCACATGCGCTCGACATGCTGGGCTGGTCAGATCCACTGATTCGTCCACTGGCGGCCTCAACGGAGGATGGAGGTTTCCTATTTCAATTGAGGGCTCAGGAAACTGGCAGTGAAGGAACCTCATAACTTGGAGAACTACAGTAACATCCTCCAGGAGTCAAACCTATCCCTCACCAATCATAAAACACCCGCTTTCGCCCGCCATGGGTCCCAAGCCTCATGCAAGGCAGTGACCTCCCGAAGCCGGGTCCGCAGCTGTGCCCAGCGCTTCTCTTCGGCCTCGATCGCGCGGCGCGTCTCGGCGCCGGTCCAGGCGGCCGCGCGGGCGCCGCGGGCCGCACGCCGCGGCGCCGCCCGGTCGGAGGGAGTGGTCGCGGCGAGCAGGAGGAGGATGTCCACGGCCTAACGATTCCCCCAAGAGTCGCACGAAGCGGAGTTGGGAATTGGGGCCACACGAAAAGAAGAAGGCTTTGAAACAGAAACTCCAAGCTGGTCCAAGCTGCTTCTCAATATTCTCAATCCGCACTGATCCGATCCCTCCCCTCCTTCCGGCCCGGTTCCCCAGTTCCCCTTCCCGCCTGACGTTGTCCGTGCCGGTGCAAGCGATCCTCGGCCTGGAGCAGCCACGAGGCGTCCGGCGGCAGCTCGACGAAGATGGCCAGGGACGCAGCCGAGAGGTCAACCCCCACGGCCTCGACGCGGTGGAGAGTCGTTCCGAGGAGAGTCGTAAGGCACATGGAAAGCACTGAATGCCAATGGGTTTGGATCCATTTGGGTCTGTTTGGGTCCATGTTCCTTCTTCCAGGGGGGGGCCTGTAAGGAATCTCCCTTATTCCTACAGACCCATATTGTAATATATAACCGGACCGGACAAACAATGAGAACTTGGAAGCCCAAAACTGACAGAAACGATCTGCCGAGAAACGCACGCTGTGACTCCGATGAAGGCCAGTGAAGGCCCATTCTTGCTCATGAACTTTGATAGAAGGCTTTGTCGCGTGATCGGTGGTGTCGAACCGTCAATGCGAATTGAGTCGAGGTCCATGACTCTGCAAAGACGGTCCAGAACTCGGATATGGTGGGCAAAAACCACTGCTTTCTGGCCTCAGATGTTTGGAGATTTCATTGCTTACTCAAACCACTACCACCGCAAGTTGGAAACCCAAAACGTTCCAAAAAGTGCCTTCCATGCGTCCACCTCCGCAGTGGCTCACCAGCTTTTCTTTCAACCAGCTCTCTGCTGCAACCAGCTTCAGCAGCCCGCAGCGTTCGAAGTCCGTCGAAGCCGAAGTCTCAGCCTCACACAGGCCGCTTGCAGCGGCAGTCAGTGCCAGGCGCACGAGGCGCCGGTGCTTGGGCGGCAAATCCTGAATCAGAAGTCGATAAGGTCCAAGCCGTTCTTTGGTTATTGAGAAATGCTTAGAAACAAGTGCCAAAGAATGATACATGACTTCAAGGTCAATGTAACTGGACTCCAGGAGGTGCAATTATAGGAGGAAGACCAACCTTCACTGCGCTATCTCTGTCTTTTCTCCCACCTCCAAAACCTGGCTCTTCCTGCGACGCACCATGATCGCATCCCGCAACAAAAGTGCCAGCTGCCAGCTGCGCCGACAACGCCCTGGCAGGAGGTGACTGGATGAGGACAAAATGGGCTCATCATAGTCACGGGCGAAGCTATGAAAGGACTCTCCCAGCAAACCAGGACGCAACAAATTCGCCTGGGTGAAGATATCCAGGTAGTTTGAGCGTGAAGGAGTGCCGGAAAGGAGAAGAACGCGTGGGATAGGCTTCAGCAATTCCAGTACAGCTCGAGTGGCTTGCCCTGCCTTTCCATTGATCATGCGCAGGGCATGGGACTCATCAACGATTGCCAAACGCCATGGGCGTTTGCTGAGGTTCTCAAAAAGCAGCCTCGCCATTGCATAAGACACAATGACCACCCGTATATCGCCCAGGCCACCTTGATCCCGATTCGCTGGTAGCATGTCATTGGAGGAGTAAATGACATGAACATGACGAGGTTGCAAGATTGCTGGAAGCCATATTTCCAACTCCTCAGCCCACACCAGACGCATGCATGCAGGGCAAATGATCAGGACTGGCCACAAGTCGTAGGCTGCAACAACACCAAGAGCCTGCGCTGATTTTCCACATCCCATTTCATCTGCAATCAGGCAACGACCACCCAGCTCCAAAGCCCGACGGACCCCTTCCCATTGAAAGTTTCTTAGCCTCGAAAGGCACGAGGCGCGTGAAAGCGCCGCTTGGCAAAGGCGTTTGGCCTCCCGACTTGCCAGCTGGAAGGTGGCATCAGGTGGATTGGAGACCTCTCTTCGCAAGAGCTCCTGCCAGTCCAACTCCTCCTCTGTCGCCACACCAGCTGCGACTGCCACCTGCACCAGGTCCCTCTCCCAGAGTGCGCTCCTTTGCCGGAACAAGTTCATGAGTTCCTCCCCCGAGAGTTGAACCTTGGAAGTCCAGTCTCTCCAGCATCTGTCAGCGTCATCGAGGACTTGAGCGGCCCACTTAGCCGTTGGCATCCAGGATTTTCCATGGAGATATTGTGCTGCTGCCACTGGCAATTGGTCGACTCGAACGAGCTTCCCTCGTTTTCCTGTTGCATGTTCCACACGGTCTGTCACTGCCTCCAGCGTTCAGACCGTTTTGAATTGAAATATGTATACATGTATCTATATCTGTGTATATGTAATATACTATACACATACAATATTCTACACAAGCATTGGACAAGATGCTAGAATATGATAGACCGAATGACTTGTCAACGTCAACATATTCAAATTGAACCAAAATCTTCACAACTCTGAGAATACTTACCTCCTGTGATTCTTGCCCCCTATCCGAGTACGTTTGATCCCCGCCTTCAAGCGCTCCAGCGCCATGTCCATCTGTCGATGATCAAAAACGTAGCCCACACGCTCCACGCGCCCGGATCGTGCCACCACCTCTGCACCGTAGAAGACCCAGCTCGGATCCTCCCAATCCTGCACCGGCTCACCAAACCTGGGCAGTGGGTCCACAGAACGGACCCCAAGCCTTGAAACGCCCAGAGTTCCTCCAGTGAGGGAAAGCTAGCTGTTTGTGGAAGAAATAACCCCCCCCTGAAAATAAAAATCATCGTTTTTGGAGTGCGGCGGACCCTGCGTCCACCCCTGCGTCCACCCCTGCGTCCGAGAGGTTGTTGATCCCAATTTAACTGTGTCAAACCATGCGTCCAACTGCGTCAGTGCAGTGTTATTCCACATTGTGAAAACACCATGTTACACACCCGGCCGCACACTTTGCCACACACACTTTGTCGCCATTTTTTGGTGTTTTGTTGTGTTTTCATTGGTTTTCTATGACTAGCTCGAAGAAATTAGGGTTTCGTTTAGGGTTTAGGACGTTTAGTGGCGGCTAGAATTTCGCTACTTAACCGTCCTGAACCCTGAACCGCTCCTAAACCTAGCCGAGACAAGATAAGATGCGGATAGTGATGCTGGCACTATACTGACCCAAACACTCCAAAACATCAAAACCGATTTTAAACCGTTCCAGTGAAAGGACATGTTCCAGTCTCATGGCTTGGTGCATCGCATGGAGTTTCCCTCACGAAAACCTCGTAAGAACTTCTCAGAAACCTCGCGGGAACCTCACGGGAACCTCTCGAAAACGTCGCGGAAACCTCGCGGAAACGTGCCTTGAAAGACTGCTTAGTAAAGGATCCTTTACTAAATGATTGATTTAAAGGTATATCATCGGTATATCTCCGAGAGGTTTTCGAGAGGTTTCCGAGAGGTTCTGGCGAGGTTCTCGAGAGGTTTCCGAGAGGTTCCCGCGAGGTTCCCGCGAGGTTCTCGAGAGGTTCGCACTGGGCGCGCAAACAATTTGTTGTGGGGTTGCCCAAATTTGTTGGTGCAATGTCATGACAAACTTGCTGCTGAAGAGGCTTCCAACCCCTTGTTTTTTTCTACATGTGGTGTTTTTTTGGTTTGCGCACCGCTAGATGCACACCCCGCCGCAAGCCCGGCAACACACCCGGCACACCCTTCGGCACACCCCGCCGCACACCCGGACACCCACTTTTCCATGTATTTTGGGTGCTTTTGGTGCACCTTTAGGTTGCCAATTCTGACGCGCACCTGGACGCACTACTGGACGCACTACCCGCCACACCCCTTTGCCATGGTTTCGAGAGGTTACTAAAAGGGCAAGTTTGGATGCACCCCCGGACGCACTACTGGACGCACTACCCGCCACACACAAGAGGACAAGAAGGAGGAAAGTAAATATACACAGTAGAAAAGCTAGGAAGAGCAAGAAAAGCGCAAAAGAAGCATGAAAAGCAAGAAAAGCATTAAAAATCACAGGGGAGCAATGAAAAGCAAAGGAAAAGCAAAGGAAAAGCAAGACAAGCACAAAAACAAAAATAGCAAGAAAAGCACGAGCAACCACAGAGAAGCAATGAAAAGCAAGCAAAAACAAAACAAATACAAAAAAGCAAGAAACGGAGTAGAATTCATCGAGGAGCAAAAAAAGCCAGAAAAGCAACCAGAAGCAGGTCCAAAAAACATCCCTAAACGCAACCAAAAAAGGAATCCCTGAAAAAACCTCCGAAAATCCACACCAAACCTTGAAAAAGCCTCGGGTATCAGTACGGTTACCCCTCATTGTATGCAGACGTGTGCCAAGTGACTGAGCCTCCTCTGCCCAAGCGCGCAACTGCCCACAGTCCCGAGCCCCTTTGGCGTGGACGCGTATCATGTCGAAGCTTTCCAGCTCCACTGTGAGCGTCACAGGATCCTCCAGGTCCTGGAGAAAAGTTTCACATGTCAAAATCATGTTATCACGTCGCTAGTAGGTTGGAGGCCATGGCTCTTAGGTTCGAGGCCATCGCTATTCTGTTGGAGGCCATCGCTAGTAGGTGGAGGTCATCGCTATTGGGTTGGAGGCCATCACTCTTAGGTTGGAGGCCATCGCTAGTAGTTGGAGGCCATCACAGTTCTCACCTTACCGAACGAAAGACAGAACCCAGACCGAAATCTCGCTGTCCTACAGTTCAATTATTTCAGCAACACAAACGTTTCCGCCCAATATGCATCTGCAAGACCTGCACCTTTTGAACATTGTTTCTCAGTCAAGCAGGTCCCAAGCCCCGATCCTGAACCTGCATGCGCGCGACCGCTTTCTCCAGTCTTTCGATGTGGCCACATCCACAAATCAGAAAAAGACCAAACCGGCCATTGCGGTGCCGCAATGATTCGCCACAAGAACAGCGAAAAGAACCATCTTCTATGGCCAAAAGAAGTCTGCAAAAGTCTTCGTGGCAAATTTTGGGGCCAGTGGCGCGCCTGGTTGATCCTGTTTTTTTGCTTTTCAATTTGGACTGGACACGAATTGGCGAACCACCAGCATAAGTCTGCCGCAGCGCCAAAACCTCATCTTTCAAAGATCCCCCGTGCTCAACAAGTCTCGCTGTAAGTTGGGCTTTGTTCCCTGCTGTTTCTAACCCCCGTGCTTTGCAAGCTGCTTTTAGCTGGCACACGCGGAGCTGCACAAAATCTGCTTCAGAAGCAGGTTCTGCCATAGGAACGCCGTGTGGGATGGACGTGTCATTGTGTGGGATGAAATCATGTCTGGGTCCATGCCCTGTTCAAAAGCAAAGCTGAATGGAGTTGTCAGAAACACCATGATTCTAACAGTTATTTTCCAAAACACTGCAGTTTTTGCACGCTGCATGCAGAATGGAGGAAATGGCCCTTAAAAGTTGGATATGCGCTGAGTCTCAACAGCTGCATTTGGAGACTGTGCGTTTGCCATGTCCAACAACCTTTTTGTGGATACCTCCCTGTGGATCATTAAAACGAAAGAAACTTTAGAAAAGTGCCCAAGTTTGATTTCACTTGGCCAAAACATAAAATCCCAATGTGATCCAAAGTTGACAAAATACATAAACCGAGTCGGTAAACGCAATTTGGGCAGTGTGTCTTGCCAAGACCTATATGCTACGGCCCTTCTAAATTCGCTGAGGATGATCCGGCCAGTCCACATGAAGCACACAAGGACCTAGGAGGCTACACAACCACAGTCACGTACACGTACAGCCGCCCCACGGATGTTTTGGCCGTGTTTTTGGATGTTTTGCGGCTTCGTTCAGTCTGTGGGATCAGAATGTTCAAGCACACTGTCACATCTCTGTGCTGAACACTTCGAAAATCACGGAGGAAAGTACAGGCCACGTACTGGAAAGAACTTCATCTTTCATCAAGCAGCTTGGCAAACTAGTGGCTTTGCTAGTGGTTTAGGGGGACCCAAAGACCACAAAGAGTGAGGACTTTGTAGTTGGCATGTACTTCGCTCAGAACAAGGCAATAAGAGGCGGTAGCCTGAATGAGAGATTCAGGTTTTATGTCAGCAATACGGATTGCAACAATGCGCTATGCTTATTGAATCACTGCATCACGGATGCAAAAAGAGAACGACTCTGCTACTATGGGCGCTTTTGGTCTGGAAATAACTGCCATTACATTGTTCCATCTGTGCCAAAGTGATATGCCACTGCGAACGCGTGAACGCAGCATCTGCTCAGGCTCAAGGACGCCTGCAAAGAATGTGGTTGAGCGCTCGTCCAAGAATCTCTTTCACACTTGTTTCGATGCTGAAAGGCAAACAAAGCGGCTATCGGCTATGGTGGCATGGGAGACGTTTTCCTCATGAAACCCCAAAAGCCCTGCGCAGGGGCTCACTCTGGACATGACCTGAGACTCCGGACCCTCATTCCTTCTCGCCTGGACCCGCATGCAGCGAAAATGGGGGCCATGTGCGGTGTGGGAACTAAACCAAGTCCTTCCAAGCGCGCAAGTGCCCACTCAGATCCCTATAGAAGTGCATCGAAGAGATACAAGGTTACTCAATTACATCTGAAGAATCCCCAAGTTTACAGTCCAACTACCAAATCAGCCCTTCTAAAACACTTCCTGGAAAAAAATCCTAAACGAAGAAAGAAGACCTCTGGCCTTTGAACCTCTTTCAGACCGGTCGGACACCTTCGGGCGGCGGGTCCGGCCTTTCTCCCAGGAGTCCACCACGATCGATGAGCCGCACAAATCCGCACCGTTCAGCGTGGCCTTGGCCGCTTGGGCCTCTTCAGCAGTGTTGTACCTCAGGTCCAAACGGCAAAGGTGTCAGGTCATCCGAGTCGTCAAGGGTCTAAACAGGCATCATCCGTCTCAAGTGTACCTCACCATTCTGCATCATCTGACAAAGGGGGCTGCTGGGGGGGGCATGCAACATCTCACCCGATGTCCTTTTGCTCAGTTCGCGAGACGGCAACTTGCAGAGTCACGCAACCAAACGCACAAAAGGTCGGGAATCGTATTCTTGAATCTGCTTTCCATCTGCGGATCAGGGTCCCCGAGCACAACGGCACCTGTACCCTTGCCCTTGCCACGAAAGATCTCGACCCATCTGCTTTTGCCTGCCTGTCACAAAACAACATGATCACGAAGCTTGGGAAGCTCTGTCCTGATGTGTTAAAATTCTGAGACTGGTTCTGAGATGGTGCCACTCTGCCCAAAAAGAACCCAACTCTAGGATCAAGGCCAGTTTGTTAAGCTGCCATGTTCCCAGAGCTCATCAAGTGGTTGGAAAATGCTGCTTTTCAAAGCCAAAAAGAAGTGTAGGCCTTGTCCACCAGCGCTTGCAAATCCTTCCACTTGGCCTCCTCGGGGATGTTTCCAATCCAGAGCTTCTTGGCGGGATCCTTGGTGGATAGCATCACAACGATGCCGCATCACTGGTCGCGTGATTGGAATTGCAAATACTCGCCTCGTGTTCCGGTTGTTTTTTCTCAACATTGCCAACAAAATCAATCCAAAAAACAATCATAAAGTATATCTTGCAATCACACCCCAAGCGGGCGGAGAAAACTAAAGTTGTCTTTGTCGCTGAAGTCACATTCCGAGGCGAGCACCACGTTCAATTGAGGACTGCGCTTTCCCTTTCCTTTGCCCTTGCCTTTAAAAGGAAACCTCAAGGACCAGCATGGAGCACGGGTGGTCAGTGACTGCTCAAGCTCAATCCCGATGATGTCATTCATGCGACATCCGCGCATGCTGTTTGTTTCATGTTGTTCCTTGCGTGGAACAAATAGACCGTTCAAGGCATTATTGAAGGCATCCATCATATTTTTGATAACCAAGCACTTCGCAGCTGCCTTCTGAACTATTCAGGTCATGCAGCATGGGAGGCATCATCATGCCATAGCCATACCCCATCATGCCCTGGCCAAAACGTAACAAAAACTGCCTTTCTCTGCTTTCAATTCAGGAAATATCCAGACTTCTACCCAAGCTGATTGCTGCTTAAAAATGCTCAAAGGATTTGGGTCTGCAGCTGGGCCGGGGTTTGTGTCACCTGCCCCTATAGGATCGAAACACATGTTGAAAAGTGAAGTCTTCGCTTCGCTTGCGCCTTGCCGCCATCCCAAAAGGGAGGACCGTAGAAGCCCTTGCCACCCCAACCTGCAAGTGATGAGAGACCGCGTCAAACAAACCCGCAACATTCCGCCACCGGCCTTTGCCGTAGTCGCCGTAGCCCTTTCCGTACATGTCCTCGCTCTCTTTAAACCAACGCTGAGACACTAAGGAAGATCAAGCTGCACTTAGTTTGAATGGTAGACAGGACTTCGCTGTGATTTTGTAGACAAGAAAAGTTGTGCCCACACCTCAAAGGTTGCGAAATACCTCAGTCAAGTGAAGTTCGTAATTTACTGGGGCCAAACTCATGATGGCGTAAATGGTTGACAGCAAAAAACAAAACTGCAGCTGCAACCTGCGTTTGAAGTGTGATCTGCGCTCGCACCTCCAAATGGGCGCAAGTTGGAGCGTTCCGGCAGAAATGTTGGATAGCTTAGCTGGTGTCAAGGCCAAAAGATGTGAGAAAATTGTGCGTTCACGTGTTGTTCGGGGAATGTGTTGTGGAATGCGTGTGTCCATACTTCATGAACCATTCTGGGTTTCCGTTTGAACCAAAAATGTCAGTCAAAATCATGCAAGATTATTGAAATAACATCAATGCATGGATTCACTCGTATGAAACAAGAGTGACTATGGGAAAGAATTGTCAAATCGTGCTCAATTTAGACATATCCTGTTCAATGTCGGAAGAAGTACTGGAAAAACCAATGCCAGGGCCAAGAGGTTTGCAGCCAGAATTGCACGCATGTGCAATCTGCGTGTCCCATGTTTGTCATCACAAAGTTTGGTGTCTTGAGCGCTCTGGTTTTTGCGACCGGGGGTGCAGTCGATCTTTGTTTGGGTCTGGCCAAACGTGGGTTGGCTTGCAGTAACGCTCAAATTTCGTTATTTGGTTTCGCAGTCCATTTTTCACTAATCTCAGTCAAGTTCCAATGGAGTCCAATCTTATAAGTCGCTTTGGTGACAGAATAAGCACAGTCTGGGCCGCAAGGAGGCAAGCTCTGAAAGCTAGTTCTTGGACCAGTTGCAGTAGGCACTGCTTCACCTGTTTTCGACGTTGTTAGAACTTCAGTCTGTGGCCTTAAGATGTCTGCTCTGACCTTCAGGTTAACTTGGTCCCTTGGTGCGTTTTCTGGTTCCAGTAAGGTGCATCGGAACAGACTGGTTCTACAAGTGTAGTAAATCCCCTTACAAAGCGCTACGGACAGCAGGCTTCTATTTTCCGAGTGCAGGAATTTCTCATTCAGTTCCCCCCTG